AACGGGGACGGGACGGAACGGAACAGAACGGAACGGAACGGGGACGGAACGGAACGGGGAACGGCGGTCGGTGACCGGAGACCGGCACGGTCCCCGTACCTGCGGGAGACCTACGGTCCCCGACCGGTGGCCGGGACCGGCGGTCGGGGACCGTAGACCAGGGACCAGGGACCGGGGACCGGAGACCGGGGACCAGGGGCCGAAGACCGAGGACCGGGGACCGGGAACCGGAGACCGGGGACCAGGGCCCGGGGACCGGGGAACGGGGACCAGGGGCCGACGACCGGGGACCGGGGACCGGGGACCAGGGACCGGGGACTGGGGACCGCGCGCCACGCCTGCGCCCTGCGGTCAGCGCCCACGATCGCCGGTCCCGTTTGCGCCGCGATTGTCAGCGTTTACGCCAGCGTAGCATGGAGCCTGTTGTGCCAGAAGCGTGGCGGGAACCGGAGCCTGTTGCGCCAAAAGTGTGACGGAAACTGATCTAACGGCACCGTGTGCATGCCGTTGAAATCTGTCGCTGAGAATTCCGGTGCCTTCCTGTATTTCCCCAGCACGGGTTGGAGCATGGAGCCCGCGTAAATGGCGCCAAAATGTACATGTGTCGTGCTGCATATTTACCCGCCGCGAACACAGCCCACAGCAGTCCTGCGTCAGCTGACCTTTCCCATGGGCGACCAGCGCCGTCCGAACTCCACCGTGCACAGCTTGCCGTCCCCCGGTGCAACGGAACACAGACGTGCAGCCGGAGGGGCGGGGGGGGGGGGCAAAAGCGCACACAGCATGAGGCTTGCAGAACGCACAAGCCACTCGCAAACCCCCTTTGAGCGGCGTCGCCTTGATGGCCGCTGGTGACACGTCACACCCTCCCGGCTTTGTCCGTAACTGACAGCAGTTCGTCCACACGATTCCCGGGCCGGCCGGGACCGCACAGGCTCGCCGCGCCTTGCAGCAGGCTCCAGGAGCTGAGCTCCAAGCCACGACTGCGGTCTCCTTGCTATGCCAAGCGCGCCTAATGTGAAGGAAGGAGAGAGTGAGGGTGGCCACGGACGCATGCGGCGAAGTCCCTCCGGAAAGGCCCGTCCTGGCCGCCGCGACAACTGCGCCAGTCAAGTCTGAAGATAAAAAAGCCGCCTCGGATCGCTCTCGAGGTGTCTCCCCGGGCTCTTTGGGGGACTTCCTTCTCGCCCTCGCCAGATCCGCCGATGAGGGCGTCAGAGCGCCTGGCCCGGAGGACACGACTGCAGAGTGGCTGTGAGGTCCACCGAGCCGTCCACCGTCCCGCGTCCCGGTGGAGGCGCGGCATCACGCGCCGGCCGAGGCGTGATGCCGGACCGTGCGGTAGCGACACCGGACAGAGGCCGGGGGGGGGGGGGCACCAGGAGACGACACCGACCAAGACCAGGGGGCACTGGGAGACGACACCGGGCCGAGGGCAGAGTGGGGGGCACCGGGAGATGACACCGGACCGAGGCCAGGGGGTACCGGGACACGACACCGGACCGAGGGCAAAGTGGGGGGCACCGGGAGACGACACCGGACCGAGGCCAGAGGGCACCGGGACACAACACCGGGCCGGGGACAGAGTAGGGGGACACCGGGAGACGACACTGGGCCGAGGACAGAGTGGGGGGCAACCGGGAGACGACACCGGACCGAGGCCGGGGGGGTACCGGGACACGACACCGGGCCGAGGCCAGGAGGCACCGGGACACGACGCGGGGTGGTGTCGTCCGCGGCAGAGCGGCACCGGCCGAGCTTGCGACGGTCGCGACACCAGACGGACGGCGCCGGAGGACCACCGGGGAAGGTGACCGGGATGCGGCAGGCCCTCGGGGCATGGAAGGCCCCTAGGGCAGGGAAGACCCGGGGCAGGGGAGGCGCCCGGAGCAGTGGAGGCCCCTGGGGCATGGAAGGCCGCTGGAGGCAGGGGGGCACCCGGAGCACAGCAGGCCCTCGGGCCACGGAAGGCCACGCGAGGCAGGGAAGGCCCCCGGGGCAGGGAGGTGTCCAGGACAGCGGAAATGTCCGACGCAAGGGAGCTGCCGAAGGCAGGACGGAATGCGGGCAGCACCATGCAACAGCCGACATGAGCCGGCGGCGGCTCCCCACGCGGTGCATCCGGACGTCTGTGGGAAACGGTCCGCACGCCCCGTGCGAGCCCCGCCGACTCAGCTGAGTCGGCGGCACGCCTGCCGCCCCGGCCTGCGACCCGCGGCCCGCGGGCGCCTCGGTCTGCCGAACAGACCGCCCCAGCGTGACAGCACGCCGCGCGCGCGTCACAGGTAATTATCAACCCAGCCACCGTCGCAATCGGCGCGCCGGAGGCCGCGTCCGCGTCCCCGCATCGGCGCCATCGATTGACGCCAACGGTGCAACCGTCGTCATGGCAACGCACGCCGGCCACGTGCACGGGGTCGGAGCGGTGCGCGCTTGCCCACGCGCCCGCCCGCGGCGCCCTGCTCCCCAGTTCCGCTCGAGCGGCGGCTTTTAAGCACACCTGCGTCGCGGACCCGGTGGCAGTTACAAACGAGCAGCCTCCAGCCGGCCGGCGACGTGATTACGCGGCGGCCGGCGCGCCGCGCCACTTTGCCAGATTAACTCCGAGTGCGGCTGTCTAACTCCGAGTGTGGCTGTCGAACGGAGCGCGCGGCGGGCGCTCCCCGGGCAAGGGCCCTCGGGCGGCCAATCACCGGCGGAGCAGCACCTGAGCGCGCCGTTTCGGCAGGTGACACAACAACGCGCGCGGGGCACGGCAGAATGAACGAATCGGGGGGACGCCCGGCGGCAACTCCATGAAGTGGAGGCTCTCGACGTTAGACGCACACCCAGTCGCGCGGAGAAGAAAATCTGCTCGCGGCGTTGAGTGCGATGAGCTGGTGCGGCCGACCCGAGCACGGATGACTTCGAAGCACTGCGCATGTGACTAACGGTTCATGCGGCTGGCGGCCCATCACCGTTTACTGAAAACGACACCGGATGCGGGCCGCGAACATGATACGCTGGTCCCGAGCACACACGCCGGCGGCGGAGCCGCGTGCCGTTCAGCTGAACGGTGGCCGACGGCGGGCCGCGTGCGTTCAGCTCGGCCCGCGGCGGCGAGTTCCTGTTCGCCACCGGTGGTGTGAAGCGGTGAGGTGAGCGTGCCTCTGCCCATCCCCTCCACCTGGCGGTGTGAGGCGGCGATGGTGAGCATGCCCCGCCGGCGCCACACCCCTGCCCGTCCCCCTCTAGCCGTGACGGTCCATTCACCCTCCACCGGCGCGGCGGTCAGCGCGCCGGGGGGCGGGGAGGGCGGGGCTCGATCAGCCTCACAGCGGGGAGCCGGCGGCAGGGTACGAGCCAAGACCGGGCCGGCGGCGTCCTGTGCTGGCGCCGGAGTGTTACAAAGGGGCCCGGCGTGTCGCGAGCAGCCGTGGGTAATGGCGTGGTCTTCTGTGGGTGTAGCAGACGCCCGTTCCGGTCTCTGAAGTCGGCAATGCTGAGTGCTCCCCCGCCCGCCGGATCTCCCATACCGACACGTCAGTGAACACTGCCGATCCGGCCTCCGCACCACTGAGCGCGAGAGGCCGACCGATCCCCGTCCCGAACGCCGCTGAGGACGGCGCTGGCATCGTCCCCGACCCTGCGGTCCGCGTGGCTGATTCCCCGGCGCGGGGGCCTACCGCAGCACGGCAGACATCGCCATGGCGATGTGACAGACGTCGCGAGACAGACAGACAGACGTGTACAGCAGACCTCGCCGTGGCGATGTTACAGACATCGCGAGACAGACAGACAGACGTGTACAGCAGACCTCGCCGTGGCGATGTTACAGACATCGCGAGACAGACAGACAGACGTGTACAGCAGACCTCGCTGTGGCGAGCGCAAGCCTACCAGCCCAGCCCGCCGACGGCCGCCGCAGCTTCACCGTGCAACGTCGCCCGGCTCCGAATCCGCGCTCAAGCGTGCCTTTTCACCGGCGAGAAAAGGAAAGCTCGCAGCGAGCCGGTGCAGCGCGACCTTGAAGGCCCTTCAGAAATCCCCGAGACCGCGCCGATCGCCGCCCGCGGCGTGCCCGCCAAACGCCGGGCACATACTGAGCAGCGCCTCGACGCCGTTGGGGCTTTACGGCGCACTCATCCGTTGATGCTACAGGGCGCTCTTGCCTCTCACCGTGGCAGAGAGGGCGGGCACAGCGGAGGCTCGAACTCCGCACGTCTGGTTTCCCAGATGCGTGGCTTAACCACCGCACTATCAGCTCCTCCACTTAATGGCATCTCGGCGGCGCCCCGGAGGTGCCCGCGCCTGCCCTCGCCGGTTGATCCGGCCGCGACTCTTGGCACCCGCACGCCCACCACCAGACTGGTGGCCGGTGCTGCGCCCGTCGCGATGAGTGGAGCCGGCATGAAACTGGAGATATGCGCTGGAGAAACACACCGCGGGACATCCCGCCCAGTTCCGCGTCGCATTCCAACAACGTTCAGTTCAGAGCCGCGGGAGACGGTAATCGGCACGTGTTTGTGTTGGGCGCGTGTTCAGCAGCGTGAGTTCGCCGCACGTGCGCACCACGACCGCCACGCGGCGCCGCGCTGCATCTCTGAGAGGACACGACGATCAACCGGGAAAGTGACTGGTCGGCACGGAAAGTGCATTCTTCCATTCTTTTGACGGCGCGTGCGTCCCCACCCTCTCCCTGACCCCGCATCTCCGCCAACACCATCCGATCTTCACACGGGCTCGTGTGGGCGTGGTGAACAAGAAACCGGGAGCTCACCGCGCCCCTCCCACGACTCTCACAGTCCGCTCTCTCGCCACTTCTCACCGGCTCGCCCACGACACCCAGCCCAGCTGGTCCCAGACATCCCTACCCCAACCCCGCAGCGGAGATGCCGTGACGCCCGGCGGCCGGCCCCAGCCCTCCACCTCACCCCGACACGTCACGCGTCACGCGCGTGCGACAAGTGACGCGCCGTCACGGCGCCGCCGACGGGCGCCGGCGCCGGCGCCGGACCGACCTTGGCGTATCGGAAGAGTTCCTTCTGCTGGCGCAGCCGCTCCGCCGGCACCGGATGCTGTTTCCCGCGCATGAACTTGAACATGGTGCAGGCCTGGAACCGGACAGCGGCCGTCAGGGGGGATGTGAGGGGGGTGCCGGTCGCCCAGGGTGACACACGACCGTCGGAGCGGCGACGAATACCAGCGGTGCATGCTCGTCAGAGGCAACGGGCAGACCTCAGCCACAGAATAGCGGCCGTGATTACGGGGATGGGCGGCGTGCCCCCCCCCCCCCCCCCCCCCAGGGGCTTGCGTGGAGCACGCTCATCGGTCGGGCGTCCGGCTGGCAAACACACCTTGGAAATAGCCAGCACATGGCTGTGCATCACTGGCCCATACATGTCACCAATAGTGGTCACAACAGCTGGCTTATAATCATGAAACATCAACAGATGATGTATTGGCTTCTGCAGTTGTGCAGCACATTACCCAAACAACAGTCACACATGATGGTGGGGACATTGGACATGACATAATTGCAATGCAAAGTGACACAAATGTGTGGTCCAGATCACATGATTACTGTTATGTACATTCAGACAAAACTTTAGTGGCAATTATAATGACTGTTTTGCAAAATAGTGACAGTTTGCACAGAGTTACAACAAAAAACATATGCACTTTAATGTGGACATCAAATCTGTTTTGTGCTCACAAAATTTTAAAGCTTTGAAGCACAAAACATGCCTGCATAGGGTATGCCAATTGAGTGATTCACAAACCATGTCAATAGCTGTTGACCAGTTTCCTTCCTCATTAAACTATCACAATCATGTTTCCAATTAAAAAACTCATCCATTTTCATGGGATGCCAAAAGTAAAAATTCCATGGTACCAAAAACACAGACATAGTAGCTAAATAGCAGCAGTTTTCCTCACCACTGTCACAATGCACTGTGTCCCCAGCAATTCACATCAATCAATCTGCAGCGTCAGACTCCCAATTGCCAAACTGATATCACAAATACCTATTATGGATGGTGCAGAGATCATGTGTAGTGTAAGGTTATGAAGCAAGATGCAAAAGTACCTTGCATTTAACCACAACACTACAATTTTTCACATTCTGATACATGCTGAAGTTGCATCCAAATATCTTTGGCTAGTTGCTGTGCCACTAGTCATCAAGGTGAACATGAATTTTTAACAGGTGGAAGTTGTTACAACATCTGACTCAAGCTGTAGTAATCTCAAATGCCAGTGGGTGATGCTTGCTACCTGTTGCACTAAAAGTCATCTCACAGCTTGCTACAACTTATGGCCTCCCCAAAAAAACTATGGCAGCTAGCTAAGTAAGATGCATTTTGCTGATGAGAATGTGCTTCCACAAATGTGCAAAGTTGTTTACAACCAAAGCAGACAGCTTCATATTGGTGTTATTGAGCTTACAAGTTGCTCCTAGCAAAACAAGCCCACTCATCAAATGTTTAGAAAGTGTACCTACTGCTGACTGCCAACAACCAAAAATTAGATTCTGTTGGTCCCAAATCCTGCATCTGAAATGTGAGGAGCAGGTTACATAGCACTTGTTAAAGCATATCGCAGACAGGTGCAGGCATTACACATGTAAATGACCAAAACGCGCTTCAGAGACAAAAAGCATTACTAAATGTCCACCAGACCCCGAGGTCGACCAATCATACATACCTTTCAGGATACCTATCTTGCAGGAGTTCCAACAGGTGAGCTCCCAGCGATCAGATCATCGGAAGGGATCTCACAAGCGTAAAAGCGGACCGGTAGTTAGCTGGGATTTTGGCGGTAACCGTGCCGCAATATTTACACAAGTGCACGACGAGTCCTTTCCAGCGTAAATCCAGCCTGTCTGTCACACTAGGTACTTCCACCTGCACCAAATTCACCGCAGCTCCCCGCACCACCAACCTGGCTGCGAACAGCCAGTCCAACACGCAGGCGACCGGCACCGGTTTCGACGCCGCCTGAGCAACAACGCCACGACGCGGTGCCAAGGTAACGCCCAGGGACCCGTCGAGTCTAATACAATGTGGGATTTGATGTCTGGTCCGATAATGGTGCATGTAAAAAGGTCTTCAAAATTTTAAAACGTAATTTTTGCTGATATTTGGAACTTATTAGCAAATCAACTTAACTTATGTGCTGAACATTGCAGATCAAAGCATATGACGTCATAAAAAAGATACAAAACCTAGGCAAGTTTGCCACCTGGTGATCATAAGCACACTGCTAGCTTACTATTCCGACGCCAGATGTCAGCAGCCATCAAAACGTGATATGTACAAGAGCAAAACGCTGCTAAGGGATGAATGTCATGCGTCCCGGGGGATTGGGGCCCGTTGCTATATTAGAAACTGGCAGTATTCAAGCTTTACCTGGAACTTTCGATATCTCTAATCAGCTGATACCTAAGACTTGTTGACCCGAGTTCGACATTGACATGTTATTAGCTACAAGCATCACGGTTCCATACATTGATATTAGATTACCAGCTCGTCCATGATGTTATCTAGTTGTACTTGAAGCGGAACAGTTCTTTATATTTTGTGGCCCGGTTCTGCCAGGATATGCCCGGGCCGACCTGATACAACTGCACTGGACGCGGCGGGGAAAGCTGGTTTAATTTCGGGTAGCACTGTCTTCGACGGAGCCTTTCGACTTTTTGAATCCAGGGTCGCGCGGGTAGATCATCCGCTGGCGTTACGCCCTCCCCCCCCCTTAATGGCATGCATTATTACGCATGTGGCATTATGCTGGCAGCAAAAATCAGGAAGATACGAAAAAAGGAAGAAGAAGAAGACCGGGAAGATCGTAAGTAAGAAAATCGGGAACGCACGATGTTGTTCTACAACGCGCAAGAAATTGCTCGCGTCGACGGCGCGCCAAAATCGGTTTTCAGTGCATTATTTGAAGGCCATGGTTTCATGCAGCATTTAGTGAGAGGAAACGTGGTGATTCATAATTTGTGCCGTAGGTTTTTGGGTACTTGTATGCAAGTTGTCTGATCAAAAACTCAGGAGTGACTTTCTCTGCAAAATTGCAATCGAAACAAAATACGGTTAGCACGTCTACTGTTCACAAGCGAAACGCTAAGTTCGTAAATCGCGAAAGAGCTTCAAAAGATAATCAAAATTGGTTCAGCTTTCGTTACAACCGTGCTTTCCGATGTAACCATGCGAATCAGTGACAGACACACGAGAGTCACATTTCTGGACTGAGAAGAGCACGAGCAACTGATTCTGAAACATAGCGCATGGGATTAATTCCGACTCTACCTCAAAACGGCACAGCAAGGCAATGAATCCAATCTTGTCCCGAATAAAGGAGATTTGGTTCAATGACTGAATCGATTCCGATGACAACAGTTCAGGAGATAGCACGTTCCATGAGCTTCTTTGTAGTCAAAATACGGCATTTAGTTCGGCAGAGATTGGTCACACGTGACCACAATGTTTTCGTTGCGGGTTGAAGCCGTCAGACTGCGAATATACCTCGTCGCCTACTTTAATATTTCAGTCGACTCATTCCATATTTCAGACGACAGCCAACTATGACTTGGCTGGCTCAAATCCAACTCTGACTCACGATAAAATGCTGACGGAATCGATTCCACTCCGATTTAGCAGCAGCTTGGTTGTTTCAAGATTCCTGAGCCCGGAGCCTGGATCCTGGAGCCCGGAGCCCGGAGCCCGGCGCCAAGAGCCTGGAGCCCGGAGCCCGGAGCCCGGTGCCCGGAGCCCAGAGCCCGGAGCCCGGAGCCTGCAGCCCGGAGCCTGGAGCCCGGAGCACGGAGCCCGGAGCCCAGAGCCCGGAGTTTGACGGTCGGTCATTCCTGGGTACGCGTAAGCCTCGATTTTTTTCGCCTTAAGCAATTACAAGGATTCATGTCAGGTATCGGATAACAAAGAAGATAGGAGCGTGAAGCAAACTACATATTCGCATTGCATGCGAGTGCCCCGTCTATAGGACAGTAGGGAGCTTTGATGCTCTCCTACTGGCGGTCACCAGGCGAGAAGGGGACAATGTCGCTATTTTGATGACCTTTTTCGAATACCGTGCACTGTGGCTCAAATCAGGGAGATCAATCTGCGAAAACCTCGTGAGTGCGAAACTCAGCTCAATGTCACCAGTTTAGCACTCAGGGTATTTGCTCTTTACGATAACTCGGCCGTTGTCACTGAGGGCGTCTAAAATTCCAAAATAGGACTGTTTTCGAGTGATCTGATCACTTCCAGCCAGTATCACGGTCGGGAAGTTTGGTCTGGCAAGCACATCAAGCCACCTGTAGCTACGGTTAATCGCCGGTTAACATGGCTAATTTCAGTTGTAAATGTCAATTGGGCATCCAGATCTCAGTTACAGCCTGATCCATCGTTCCGGATACAGTGGTATGTTGGCAGTTCGCGCAATGGCCAATGCCACAAACCGATGCGTGTCGTACACGCCTGGAATTTTGATGATTCATAATTAGCACGCACTCGGGGGTCAAATTGATCCCCACCCCCCGAAGGTTTTTCCAGAATGGTTTCCGAACGGCGAGGTTCAGTCGCGCGAAATTTTGCACAGTTGTAAACCCTTGAATAGCGGATCATTTGGTACTGAAAATTTAGATGAGCTTTCTAAGGTCACTCACCTGTGGCAGGTCAAGGTCAGACCATGGATCCTACGAAGTCAATTTCTAGGGAATCGTTAAATATGATGCAACAACGGAGTGTTACACGGCACCATATATCTATGAGATACTTTCTCAGGAAACGCAACATTTGAATCAACAACTTAGATCAACCTAAGGTCAGTTTAGAAGGATAGGCCAAGATCAAAGCCAATCTGTTTTAGTACTCTAAGGCTTGCTGTATTGGTTAGTTTCTGGTAATCATTCCAAATTTATTGGTAACAGTAACTGCGTTATACACCTCCCATGCTCTTTCAAAACGTCGGAATAGGTCACTGACCTAAAATGACCCAGGTCAATATTTTGTTTTCTGGGAACATACTGCATGGCGTAATCTTTGCCGCTTATTGAAATGCAATACCCAAGGCGGTCTTGTATGATTTTGGTCACCACAACCTTCGAAAGGTCAAATAAGGTCACTGACTTTAAATAATCACATGACCTTTTGCTTAGAACAGGTATCTAGATTCTGCGGGCACTTCGGAGACCAACCTGAAAATTGACCTCGTTTTACCTTATTTAACCCGAAGGTCATGACCTAGGAACCTCAAATCTTGACCAGAGTGAGTTTAGGTACAGGTCAACACACCCCGTAAATTTAGTGTCTCTAGCTCTCTTAGTTCCTGAGATCTCAAAAGGGTCAAACTGACCCTCGCCCCACCTCCCCCAACCCCCCAACCCCATTCGAGGGAAGGTTATCCATCCGGCCACCCGGGCGCGTGTTAAGCGTGCATCCGTGCATCAATTTGCTTAAATGGTTTGCATGGGGGCGTTGAGCTCAAAACACTCGCTAAGCAATGCTTGTTGCGTGTCTCATGAACCCATCATCTAAGTAGTGCCGCCCAGTTTTAACTGATTACGGCGTTTTTTTTCCTTTTTCCGAGCACAGGACTGCGGTGTTTTACCTGCCGCACAATGCTACAGCACGGCTGCCGTGGTATGGGTCGAACCCGTTGGCCAGTTGCCAGCTGACCTCTTCACGCCAGTCGGTCAAACAATACGTCCTATCTGGGACTCCTTACTCAGCATTTTCTGTCCCGCTCACCGAGGCGGTATTTAGCACCAAACGTTGCCCCACGCGCAGGTCGTGCCTTCGCACGTTCTCCAGATACAGGCTCCTGTCCAGTCAGCTGATCCAGCTCAGCTGGACGTCCCAGGGGCGTCCTCCAGTGTCGAAAGCAGCGGGGGGCAAAGGGTGCGCGTGACGCTACAGGGGTCAGGCCGTTCTGCGCGGCTGCTGCAGCCAATGACAAGCTGGCTGCGTGTGTGGGTGCGTGAGATGTGGCGGTAAAGATGGGCGGAATGCCCATCGGGCATCGGGATGGGCGGGCGGAAAGAAAGATAAAGACGGGTAAAGATTCGGGAAATAATTTGGGTGCTGAGCAGGAAAAATGTCTAACCTGCCACAAAAATACAAAGAGTGTGCCTCTTCCTGAGTTCAGCCCACCTTTTTCCCAAAGTTCAGGAAAGATGGGAGCGCCAATTTCAGATGAAGCTACGACCCAAGCGGGAAATGAACATTGCTCCGTTCGTAACATTGACCCAGCGTCAAACCGGCGTGCTCGTTGTTATGTGATGACCCAGAGCTCGGGTCAGCTATGGAACGAACAACGAGATGTAGTCCGTCGGAGCCGGGAGAACGTCAGAACACCCGAACCTCGCATTGAATACCACTGACGTCACACTGCCGTCGAGAGTCGGCTGATATGTGCCCGGCACGCGGTCCTGTGAGGTTTACTTTTGTCCCACCGCGCGATATTCTGAGCAGGTTAAAAGGCTTGACTTTTCGGCTCTCAGGGACCCAGGGGGACCCAGGGGGACCCCGGGTGAGAACGATATCCACCGGCTGACGGGAGTCGCGTGGAGCTCCATGTCTGGCGCCGTGTTCCTCCTTGAGGTTGCTGAGTGTAGTGCTGGACCAGCCTTTTGTCCGGAAGACCCACGCATACATGGCAGCAGTGCATCCTGGATTTTGTCAAGGATGAGGCCACGCAACATTGTGGACCGCTCGAGTTTAGGGCTCCCTGCCCCAAAAATCTTCGGATTCTGGCTGTCAAATTTAATGTTCTTACGCATGCCATTTCTTTATTGGGGAACCTTCTTATTCGGGATCCGGGAAGCGGGGGGACTGCGCGCAAGCATGTCCGTGAAGTTGGCGATTTATTCAGCGATTTTTTCAGTGACGAGTTCCGAGTTCTCCGAAAAAAGGTCCTCAGGTGATTCATGTAAAAGTCATTTTCAATGTTCTCGTGCCATAATTCACCTTGAGACTTTTTCAGAAAATCGGAACTCGTCG